AATACGAAACAAGGCCACTCTTCTCACTAAATATTTTTGTCTTGTCAAATAGAGTCATTTTTATAAAATGTTATTTATTATTGTCATTCTTATTATTTTAAAATCAAACAATGAATAACTATTTTTTAAATTTCTTAGTTTTAATTGCTAATACTGTAAATATTGATAGCTATAACCCCCATCAACAAGAATTCTTTTTGAAGAATTTAAAAGAGTTCATTTTGAAGAGTTTAAAAGAGTTCTGAGACAAAAAAGTTTGAGAGCTTCTGGGATCGAGTTAGCCAGAGGAGGTGGGGGAAAGATGGTCTGAAACAGAGAAACAGCATGTGCAAAGCCTGGAAGATGAAAAGGAGCTGCCAGTTCAATGCGCCTGGAGTACAAGGGGACAGAAAGATGGGAGGGGAAAGTGGAACCACATCACAAAGGCCTTGTGTAACCTGTTAGTGACTTTAGTTTTAAGCCAAAGAGCAAAGGATTGACTAACAGTTTTTGTTTGAGGGAAGCTCTCTAAAAGCAGTAAGGAGGATGGATGGAGGGGGCGAGACTGAAGGCAGGGAACTAGTCAGGAGGTTAAGAACTGGAGAAAAGACAAAACGGCGGCAACGGGAGGGAGGGAGTATGTGAATCAATAGAGATACTAATTAAGTTGAATCAGAAGGACTTGAGGATTGTCTGACGTGGGAGGTGAGAGACATTCAATTTAGAGCAACACCCTGCTTCACACTTGGGAAGCTGAATGGTTCGTGGCACCAGTTAGTGACACAGGGAACAAAGGTGGAGGGTCAGGTTTAGAGGAGAGAAAGTAATGAGTTTTGCAGGCGGTGACTCTGAGATGCCTGAAGAACACCCAAAAGGAGTTAACCAGCGAGCAATTTGTGATACGGGCCTGAGGCCCAGGGGATAGGTAGGGGTTGGACATACATATTTGGAAAACACTTGTATATAAATTATGATTAAGCTAGGGATGGATGAAAGTATCAAGGGTGAATATATGGACTACAAAGATGGGAGGATCAAAGATGTAACCACTGGAAGGTCACCATCAAGAAAAGGACAGAGGGACAAGCCCCTTGGCATAGTGGTTGAGTTTGGTGTGCTCTACTTCAGCAGCCTGGGTGCAGACATACACCACTCATCAGCCATGCTGTGGCAGCAACCCACATATAAAGTGGAGGAAGATTGGCACAGATGGTAGCTCAGGGCTAATCTTCCTCAGGAAGGAAGGAAGAAAGAAAGAAAAGGGCAGAAAAAGAGGAGCCCCAAAGGAGTGGTCAGAGAAGTAGGAAGAAAGCTGGGGGAAGTTAGTGTCATAGAAGCCAGGAAAAGAGAGATTTCCAGGAAGAAACAGTGTTCAACAAGGTCAATGGACAGGTCAGATAAAAAGAACTGAAAAGTGTCCACTGGGTTAATACAAAGGAAGAAATTGTTACCTTGGTAATAGAAATTTCAATTGGACGACACCTTTCCCCTCATGCAAGCGTATGTTTACATTCATAAACAGTCCCTCCCCACCCACTTGCCCCTATTCATAACAGTTAAATTTATTGATTTACATGAGATCTGAGGAGTTTTCTGTGGGGAAAAATTAATTTTAGTCATGTTCATAATAGTGTTCAGACACACAGACACACATCTGATAGAATAAGAGGAGAAGTAAGAGAAGAAGTAGATGTGCAAGTAAAAGAAGCACGAGTTTAGGAAAGGATGAAAAGGCCCCTTGAAATACATTCCCTCTGTGGGAAGAACTCCGGTGGAGTCTACCTCTGTCTAGCCAACATGGCGGCCACCAGACACATGGCTGTTGAACACCTGAAATGCTGCTCTTCCAAATACAGATGTGCTGAGAGTGGAAAAATACATATTAGGTTTTGGAGACTCGGTTTGGGAAAAAATGGCGTAAAATATCTCATAAATAGCTTTTATATTGACTATATATTAAAATGATAAAATTTTGGATATATTGGGCTAAATAAGTTGCTATTAAAATTAATTTTATCTCATTCTTTCTACCTTTTTAACATTTAAACTTAAAGTTACACATATAGGGCCAGCCCGGTGGTGCAATGGTTAAGTGCACATGTTCTGCTTCAGTGGCCCGGGGTCCGCCGGTTTGGATCCCAGGTGCAGACATGGCACCGCTTGGGAAGCCATGCTGTGGCAGGCATCCCACATATAAAGCAGAGGAAGATGGGCACAGATGTTAGCTCAGGGCCAGTCTTCCTCAGCAAAAAGAGGAGGATTGGCAGGGGACGTTAGCTCAGGGCTAATCTTCTTCCAAAAAATAAAAAATTACACAAGTAGCATGTATTTTATTTCTATTGGACAATGCTGTTCTAGCCAAACTTAGCCACAGAGTGTGAAGGTTGATAGGAAATTGTGTACCTGAATTTAAAAAAATAAAATAAAGCTGGCTTATTAATCTCTTCAAGACTTCGGAGCTCAAGCAACCCTGCTTTGGGACCATTCCTGCCACCAACTGAGCATGTACAGGAGGGACAATGCTCCTTCTAATTTTAAAAAAGGCAGCTAAGCAACAACTGAGGTCCTATAGGAATAGTACAGTTCAGAGATGACAAGGACAGTGTTGAGGGGCTGCCCAAACTAATTCAAGAACCTCTAGAAGTCCCAAAATTCTAGCTGGAGATTGCGAAAGGAGCTGGAGTTTCTGAATTAGGAGACTGAAGCTTGGAGCTATTGGGAACTTATTCACAGCCTCAAGCTGATGAAGTCAGAGGATATTAGAGCGACAGGGACTACTTGAAGAGTATATCCGTTAGGATGCTTTTAGCTGCAATTAGAAAACAATTCAAAGGAGCGTAAATAAGAGGAGAATGTCTCATAACAGAAAATTCAGAGATAAGGCAGATCCAGAGTGTATTAATCAGCATAGTTCAGAGCTGTGAGCAAGCATCCAGTTTCTTTTTGTCTCTCTTCTTTTTCCCATGCACACTACCAGCATTCTTATAATGCTGTTTTGTTTTGGTTTTTTCCTCCTGGTTGTATAATTGTCACCAGTGGTATTTGAAGTTATATGCTTCTTTATTATGACCCACAGAGAGAAAGACAGTGACTTCCCGTGTCTTTTCCTAAGAACAAATGAAAACATTCCCCACAGCTATCAGCAAACTCTCCTTGTATTTCATTGGCAAGACTTGGGCCACACGCCCATTCTTGAGCCAACACTGGCCAGGGTGATGGGATTACACTGAGACCAATTAGGTTCCCTTTTCCAGAGCTGAGGGAGAGGCAGCATCCCCTGAGAAACTTGTCTTGCAAGAAGGTGAAGTGGATCCCTGAACAAAACTCAGGTGCAGTTAGGAAGAAGGAGGGCAGGGAATTCTGCTGGTAGGCAACCCAGTGCCCACAGCAACTCTGTTTAAATACAAATAAGAAGGAGCCAGCTGATAAGAGGTTACTATCCAAATTACATAAAGAACTCATACAACACAATAGAAAAAACCAAACAATCTAATTTGAAACGGGGCAGAGGATCTGAATAGAGATTTTTCCAAAGAAGACATACAACGGCCACCAAGTACATGAAAAGATGCTCAACATCACTTATCAGCAGGGAAATGCAAATCAAAACCACAATAAGATATCACCTCACACCTGTTAGAATTGCCATTATAAAAAAGATAAGAAATAACAAGGGTTGACGAGGATATGGAATAAGGGAACCCTTGTGCACGATTCGAGAGAATGTAAATTGGTGCAGCCGCTATGGAAAACAGTACGGAGGTTCCTCAAAAAATTAAAAATAGAACTACCATATGATTGAGCAATCCCACTTCTGAGTATTTATCCAAAGGAAACAAAGTCACTAACTCGAAAAGATATCTGCACCTCTATGTTCATTGCAGCATTATTTATAATAGTCAAGATGTGAGCACCCTAAGTGTCCATCAACAGATAATAAATAAGTCGTGGGGGTATAATGTACAGTGTGATGTCTATAGTTAACAATATCGTATTATATATTTGAAAGTTGCTGAAAGAGTAGTTCTTAAAAGTTTTCGTCACAAGAAAAAAATTTGTAACTATATGTGGTGATGGATGTTAACTGAACTTATTGTGGTAATCATTTCACAATATAGACATATATCAAATCATTATGTTGTACTCCTGAAACTAGTATAATTTTATATGTCGATTATATCTCAATTCAAAAAAAATGAAGAAGGAGCCAGTAAAGGGAAATACAAAAGGGGGAACAACACTTCCAGCCAATTATTCAGTCCTGAGCCAACTTCCCTCAGCCTCCCATCAGCCCCACAACTGTTTTGGCTCAGGGAAAACCATCTAATTTTAAGAGGCAAAAGCAATAGGTCATTGCGAAAGTTAAAGTACTATATAAAAACAAAGATTCTATTTCAAAGCTGAATGTCTATGACTTTCACAATATCTGTTGTTTGGTAATCTCTGGACATCCACTCCACCTCTGCTTATTTGCGTCAATGGTGGAGAATCAAATAATCCTTCCTCAGCTGCTTGCTCCATTTCTATCAGACACACTTAACCTATCTTTATGTTCCATCTCTCTGCTTGCCCATAGTCCCCATTCTTTTCAGGCCACAGTAATGAGTGTGTGTTCTCTTGTGACTGTTTTCCAAGCCTCATTTGGTACAGACGGGCCATGATCTAAGAGGAAAGAGTAAGCTTGGAGGATCAGGGTTTGCTTGGTAACAGAGCAGGGGACAAAAGATATCATTTAGTTACTGGTGTGTTTATCACAAAAACAGCTTGGGTTTTAAAACCCTCGGCATTAAATATTCTAATTCCCCCACATGACTCCTTCTTTAGCAGCCCAAAGGTCAAGATATACAGAAAGAATTGGAACTCCACAAAGTTGTCTCTTCACTGAGCACAATGAAACACAATGAGAGTATACAGTAGGGCTAGTAATTAAATGAAACAAATCATGCTGACATGGCTCCAATCGACCCGTGGAATTTTAGAGTTAGAAGAGAACTTCGAGACAATCTAGCCTTCTGTGGTAGGCAAAATAATGCCCTCTGCCCGAGATGTCCATTCCCAATCCTCAGAACCTGGGAATGCATTACCTTACATAGCAAAGGCAATTTACAGAGGTTAGTAAGTTAAGGAGTTGGAAATGGAAATTATCCTAGATTATCTGGGCAGGTTCACTGTAATCACAAGGGTCCCTATAAATGAAAGAGGTGGAGCAGGAGAGTCAGAGATGGGATGTGCTGATGGACACAGAAGTCAGAGGGATACAATTGGTGGCTGGAAGGGGTCCTCAAGCCAAGGAATGCAGGCAGCCTATAGAAGCTGGAGAAGAGAAGGAAAGTGATTCTCTCCCGAGCCTCCAGAAGGAATGCAGCTCTGCCAACACCTGGACTTTAGACTTCTGACCTCCAGAACTGTAGAAGAAACTTGTGTCGCTTTGAGCCACTAAGTTTGTGGTAATTTGTTATAGCAGCGATAGGACACTAATACACGCTATTGCCTCATGTTATAAATGACTCCCCCCTCCCAAACCCACCACACACTGAGATGCCTGCACTTCTTTCTTACATTTCCATCTATTACTGCACTTATAGTAATAATGTTTCTGTTTGCTAACTCTCTCTCTACTAGAGTCTGAGCACCTTCAGGGTATAGGCTTTTTCTTTTTCATCTCCAATTAAAACCTAACATAGACTTCTGACCCAAAGAAATCACTTAATAAATATCTGTTAGCTGGAAGGAATCCAGGAAATAAAAAACATATAAAATTAAGGCCCCATTTAAAAGTCCCCTAGATGGATCCTAAATTACAGGAAACTAATGACAGCGCCCTCCAGCTTTGTGGTTACGTGTTACCCTCATGCTAGAACATTTCAGAAAAATCAACAGCAAGATCTCTTTCTAGTAAGGGTATAGGGTGTGAGTGCAGCGATAGGGAGTGGGCATTTGAACTTCAAGATGGTGTGTGTCTATACACCTGAGCAGCAATTGTAGGTAACACCCTGCATGGGCTTAAGAGAGAGTGGGGTGACAACGTGGGTCTTCTCCACTGAATCCTTCCACAGTACAGACAGGAAATACTTCTCAGTGACCGAAACTCCATTCCCTGTGACTCTGGAGTTGAGCTCTTCCTGTCTTCACTCTCAGGGCACTACAGTGTCAGTGTGGTCTCCCTCAGGCCAGAGCTGAGGCAGGAGGGTGCAGACCAAAAGCACCGGAAGGGCTCCCAAACTGGGCCCTAAAGGACGCTGAAGGCCAAAGCCTCAGAAAAAGCCACATTTTGTAGTCAAGTCCAAAAGTCCAGTTTAGGGTCAGAATTTTGAGAAAAAGTCAAAGGGGTCAGGAGGCAGGAAGCCCTGGAATGGAGTGAGAGATTAAAGTAAAATCAGAAAGAAGTAAGAAGGCCAAAGATATTTCCCATGAGGGGGTGCAAAGGCCAAGGTCATCCAGATTGGACCTTGTCTGGGGATATGAGTGGGTGACTGGTTTTAAAGTCTGGGACAAAGTTATCCCGTGCACACCTCTCTGAGGAAAGAAGGCATTAGAGCCGAGGAGAAGGCCTCTACATTTGTATCCTAAACTATGGGGTCAAAATGCTTTAGGAGTAATGGAGGTGGAACCTGGGAGCCCACGCTGAGCCTCCAGTGTTCTCTGCAGAAATAGAAAATATTCTCCAAGCAACGGTGGCTTCCTAGCTTCTCAGCTTCATGTGGGAATAGATCTGTCCCCTTGAACACAGGGTGGGCTCAGCAAATCACAGTTTCCCCGGGGCTTTGCACTAACAGTGGGTGCAAATCCCAGTTGGGCTAGGGTACTTCCCCATGGATTTTTCAGACACTTCTTGGGAAAGGACAATTTCTGTCTTTCTTGGTGCTGTGTAAGGTGACCAGGTTGCCCACAGCCACATTCTCCCACTCTACCCCAGAAGAAGAAGCTGGGAGAATGGGGTCAAGCCTCAGAGAGAAGTAGAGATGAAAGGGAGACTCCTGGCAGGCCCAAACCCTCAGAGGTCCCAGGAGTTGCCCTGGTTTGTGCAGCTCTTCTTTGAATTCCGTGAACCTCACTAATAACTCTCCCTGGTGCTTAATCTGCTTGGAATCAGTTGCCCATTGCTGTTAACAAAAAGTCTGGCAAATGCACTGGGTATATATATAGCCAAGCAATGCAAAGCTTATCTAGGCTCCTGCTCCATCTCATGTGCCATATTCTCTGAATGCATCACTTCACTTCTGCCAGCATCTGTCCTCACCCTCCTGCATTAGCCTCTTGGCCATGATGTGAAAGTGCTGCCAAGACCACATTTTTGGTGCCCCCAAATCCACAGAATGTGGAGGAGAGCAGCCTGATGCAGGAGATAGGCAGAGGGGGGCGAGCATTTCTTTCCATATAAATACTTCCTTTGCTAAGAACTGAGCAGGACAAAAGTTTCTCCTCTTCTCAATTTCACCAGCTTTTGTTGTTGCTGTTCCAGAACATTGTATAGCAGATAATATACACAGGCCAAACATTCATGTGGAGTTTCAAAGACAGAGGGAGAGAGGGGAATTTCTTGAATAATACTCTTTTATTTGGTCAACCAATGAATCGCCTGTTTTGGCTGGAGTAGTCATTAACAAAGTTTCCAGCTTCTGAGTCCTGCTTTCATTCTTTCCAGCCTCTCCCACTGATGTTCAAGGGACGTCTCTAAAGAGCCCCTATCTGCCACCCCATGTCCGTGAGCCTCATAATGTGTGAGAAAAAAGCAAACCAATCTGAAAACATTTCCTGAAAACCCATCATGGCAAGGTGATGCACTAAAGTCTGAGGGTCCACAGCGACGGCTTGGGTATAGACTCTGCCCTCAAAGAGCCAATAATAATGATGACAACAATGACAGCAGCTAACGTGACCACTGAGACCTTACCCGTGCTCAGTCTGTGTGGAGGATCTAACCTAAACACCAAAAGAAACCAGAACAACACAAGAATTGTCATTATCACCATTTTGTAATTAAAGAAACAGAGACTCTGGGGCCAGCCTGGTGGTGTAGCGGTTGGGATTCTGCACTCCGCTTTGGGAGCCTGAGGTTCTCTGGTTCGGATCCCAGTCATGGAGCTATGCAGGGCTCACCAAGCCGTGCTGTGGCAGGCGTCCCACATATAAAGTAGAGGAAGATGGGCACGGATGTTAGCTCAGGGCCAAGCTTCCTCAGCTAAAAGAGGAGGACTGGAGGCAGATGTTAGCTCAAGACTAATCTTCCTCAAAAAGAAAAAGAAACAGAGACGCTAAGAAAAATTGTCTTACCCTTTTTATGTCTCATACAAAAAGTTAAGTGACTGGGACTCAAACTCGGGTCTCTGCTCTTAACCTCTTGACTTAAGAGATGAAAACTCTACTTATAAGGAGCAACATATACGAGATAGAGACAGATGCACACAGAGTGCACAAATGCGGTCAAATGTTAACACTTGGAGAACTTGGGTGAAGGGGTATGAAGGTGCTTTGTACTGTACTTGCAACTTTTTTATAAGTTCGAAATTATTTCAAAATAAATTATTTAATAATAAGATATGCCCACTTGGGGCACTCTCCCTACTGTTGAGTATTAGCTGAGTGCTTTTTCACTAACACCAATTTGATAGGAGAAAATGGTTGTCCCAATTTACATTTCTTTGTAAATGGGCATTATGTTTTTCATATTTTTCTTTACCATTTGTATTTTGACTTTTAGTCAAATATCTGTTTGTGACTTTTTCCACTTTTTCTAATAGGTACGGTGCCCCACCCAGATCCTGTCTTAAGGGCTGGAGCACTCATTTCCCAGCTGCTGGAATATTAGCTGCTATTGGCTCACAGTTGCATCCCCCACTGGGAATTCCCTCCACTCACAGGGAACTGTCTCGCCCACGGTTACTCCTCCTTCTGGGGGCAGCCAAGGACCCATGACTGCCTAATGTGGTAACATGAAGCCCTGACCCCTGGCCTGGATTTGGGATAAGTCTGAAAGGCCATCCCAGCTCCCCGTAAAACTGAGTAAGACTTCCGTTGCAACCACTTTGCATATCACTGTCTCCCTCTTCCTAGCCGTGTCTTCCTCACTTCTTTACATGTGTATTTCCAGAGAGCAATCCCCAACCAGCCTTCTGCACCCAACTCTCCATCTCAGAGCCTGTTTCCTGGGAACCCAGGACAGGCGGAGCATTTTTACTTATTGATGTGCAATGGTAAGAGCTATGTTTGTTATCATTAAAACTTCAAAGTCAACAGATTTAAGAGAATTCAAACTGTTCACTCTTAATCCACTCACTATTACCACTAACATCTTTTATATTACTCATATCTAACTACCACTTACGGAGAACCTACTACATGCTTTTCAAAGCCTGTATGTGTGTTCCACTTGATCCTCATGACCTTAACCACAAAGGGCACAAGCTCTGGAGCCCAGAACCTACCTGTGTTCAGATCCAGATGTGTCACTTACCAAATTACCTAACCTCTCTTGGCTTTGCTTGTCTCATTTGTCAGGTGGGGATGACATTACTTCCTACCTCATGTGGGTGGTGATTAAATTAGTTAATTAATGTAAAGATGATTCCTACTATATAGAAAACACTTAGATGATGGTGATCTTCACGACCACCCAATGAGACAGCCTACTTTACTGCCCAAGGCCACTGGAAGTACCCAAAGCCTACTAACTCTTACGTATACTTTAGTTTATAAATATGATGTAAAAGATTATAAAATAGCTATCAGGAGTTCGAGGAGATGCAGCTTTTGTTCATGTCATGTTGCACAGTTCTACAACAGTATATAATAATCTCATTCAAACCTAAATTCTCTGAGTGTGTTCAAATAAACAACTGCAAATAATATGCAGGCATATTCATAATATACTATGTTTTCCATGTGTAAGCTTGAATTATATATAAACATACCTGACATTATCTTCAATTATGTTTCAGGGCACTTATGACTCTAAATCCGTTCTACTATATTTAGGCTAATCACAGCCCCGAATGTGACACTTTGAGAACTTCTGTGTTTCTTCTAGAAAAGAGTCTTGGATGCAGTGACAGTGACTGAACAATTCTGCAAGGTTGAAGGCTAAGAATAAGGCTTCTGTTACCAAATAGAGGGATGAAGAGAAGAAATTTAGCAAGAACAAAGTATGTTTAAAATTTGCATATCAATTTTTTGCAACTGATGGTTCTGCCAGTATTCCAAAAATAATCTGTACAGTTTATGCTCTAGGCATTCCTTTATACTCAAAATCCATGGGAAGCAGGAAGGTAAATGCCAACCCATCAATCTCTCTCAATTTCAGCATTACAAATTTTCTATTTGCAGGTTTGGAAAGAACGGCATTTCCCAAATTTATTTCCTGGGAACTATGTATGCCTTTGGAATGCTTCATGGCCTGAGAAATGTTCCCGCACAGAATCATGTGTATAACCAAGGTAGATTTGGTCTTGAAAATGCCTATTTCATTTCACCAACAGCCAAAGTGAGGCATTTATAATGCCCATTCAAAGCAAGAAATAATTCATTAAAAGTCAAGTACCTAAATACCACCCTTCACTCTGCAAGTTGCTTAACTTTTTAGGTAAGTTACTCAACCTCTCAGTGCAGCATTTTCCTAATCTATAACATGTCGGCAGTAATAGTACCTCCCTCAGGGACTTGTGAGTATCAAATGACTTAACAAATGTAAAGCTCTCAGAATAGCTCCTGGAATGTAATAAACATGATATAAGTGTGAGCCATTATAACTTTATTATTATCATCATCATAAGCATCATCATTGCTACTATTAAATATAAGCTTTATTCCATGGACCTTATATATTCAAAGAGAAATCATTTTATTTACTTATAATACGCTATGATTCAGCCTTTTCTTCCAATTCACACTGGTTTTTCTCCCTACTGTATACATGTTAGTGAGGTTTAACTACTACACTTACTTTCTGCCCTGTTCATAACGTGACAGGCACTTACTATGAGACTTTTGAAGACAAATAAAGCCTTATAATGCTTTCTGTAGAAGAGCAAAGAAAACATTTAATTCTATTTTATTCTTAATTGGAGACATTTGTTCTATTCCTAATTGAAGAACTGTAAGACCCCAAAGCTGGAGAGGTTTAAAAATAGAGTTCGTTTTACATCTTTCCAAACTCCTGTCAGGCGAGTTCATGGCAAAATGCTGGGGATAATGAAACCAAACTTTAGAATAATTACCAGGGCTAATCATAGGCTATTACATTTGAAAAACACATTTTCAAAATGCATAGTTTTTAAGTCTTTTAATTCATTTCATGCAAAGGAAACAAATTAACATAAATGATACAGAAGTCAATACAGTTTAAAAATCAATATTCCTCCCTTCAGTGGGAAATAGGGATTTAAACTTAATGCCTAAGGACAAGGAGTCAGCACCTCAAGCAGGCAATTGTAACTGACTGGTGAAAAACATTCTGGAAAAGATTGAAGTGGAAGAAGAGATAGGTAGATGGCATGACAATGAGAAGTCACTTGTAACTGCACCAACCTGTCCCCTTGGCACAAGTTATAGGTCCAGATAGCCTCTGAAGTGGTGATTTGCTCTGCCAAGGTTGAAGGACATCAAAGAGCAAGTTCCTGGTGGCTGTGACAAAAAGGTTTCCAGCCCTGCCTCTGTCTGCTCGAACGTGGAGATAAATTGTACCAGGGCCAGTGTGCGACAAAATGGTTAAGCCCACCAAAGATGCCATCAGCCTTCCCTTGTCATACTCTTCTCAACCTCAGTGCTTTACTTACAACTTTCCCCGTGCATGGTCCAGAACATTTCTGCTTTTAAAACTCCTCTTTCCCAGAAAAATAAGGAAGGGACTCATGTCATCATTTGTACTTTGACTGAAGTTCATTCATACTACATTCTATCACCCTCGCATCTGAATTTCCATCTTCAAGTCTTTTATCTCCATTTATAAGAATAAGAACATTTGGCCTCTGCAAAAGGAGTTTAAGAAACTGTATTAGGGGCCAGCCCCATGGCATAGTGGATAAGTTTGGCATGCTCTGCTTCAGCAGCCTGGGTTCACAGGTTTGGATCCCAGGGGAAGACCAAAACCACTTGTCAGCCATGCTGTGGCAGCAACCCACCTCCAAAATGGAGGAAGATTGGCATGGATGTTAGCTCAGGGTAAATCTGCCTCAACAACAACAACAACAAAAACTGTATTAGTTTCCTATTGCTCCTGTAACAAATTGCCATAAAGTTAGTGGCTTAAAACAACATAAGTTTATTATCTTCCAGTTCTAGAGGTTGGAAGTTCAAAGTAGGTCATCAGAAGAACGGGGTTCCTTCTGAAGGCTCTAAGAGAGAATCCATTTCTTGCCTTTTCTGGCTTCTAAAGGCTGCCCACATTTCTTGACTCATGGCTACATTATCCCAACCTCTACTCCCATCTTCACATCTCCTCCTCCGACTCTGACCCTCCTACCACTGTTTTATAAAGACTCTTGTGATGTCATTGGGTACACTAGGATAATCCAGGATAATCTTCTTATCTCAAGATCCTTAACGTAATCACGTCTGCAAATGCATGCCTCGTACACTAACATTTTCACAGGTTTCAGGGATCAGGATATGGCCATCTTTGAGGGGGAGGAAGATGTGGGTACATTATTCCACTTACCACAGAAGCTGGTCCCTGCTCAACAGAATATGCCTCCTCATTGCCAGCTTCCTGTAGACTGAGACCTAGAGCACTGTCTGCCTGGAGTCTAACCAGCTTGTTCCCATATTCTCTCCTTTTCTCCAATTCTTTCAAATTCCATTGTCCCATGACCACTAAACACCTATTATCCAAAACTCTTCAGTCTCACTGTGACACATCCTTGTCCCTACGGCTTTAACTATGACCTGGTTCTACTCACTCTGTACCTGCCAGATCCCACCCCACCAACTCATTCATGGTATCTGCCCCAATTTCTACCCCAGGAATACAGTACCTAGAATTTGCCATGATTCTGCTGTCCCTACCTTGGCCTAAGAACTGCCCCTTCCTGGGACTAAGATATACTGTTTAAGAAACTTTTGCTTGGAGAAGAGAGAGGAAAGAATGTTCATGAAAGAGAATTATAGATGGACTGGCATAAGTGGGAAGAACATAGGGAAACCCATCCTGAGGCCTTTACGTTTGGAATATTGAGTCTCAGCAAAAGGAGAAGGTCACCATCAACGTCTATTTAAAAAACTTACAACATTAAAAGAAAATAAAATTAAAATTTGTTTTAGCTATGGAGACATACTTTAAAATACATTATATCTTGATGAGAAGAGCTGATCTTCCATGAATATGTCAGGGCTACCTGGCTGTACGTTTCATTGGGTTGCAACACTAATGACAGTGTGACTACAGAGTAATGACAGTGGTTTCACAACCCACATAGGAAGAGGATTCCATGTTTGACTCCGCTGCCCTCACTTTCTCTGTCCAGAACTCACATAGTAGGACCATAGAGCCCTATTTCTGTGAAATGAGAAGAAATATTGCCAAATAACATTGTAGAGTGCCCACAAAACGTTAGGGGCCCAGGAAAGCATCCTAGGTCATTGAGACTTCCTTTGGATGGCCCTACTCTCCATCTCACACATGTGCATGGAGAGTAATAGAGGGAGATATCCATCCATGTTCTATTCTTGGTGCTGTGCTACAGACTTATTTTCCCTTCCTCTACTCCAGGGAACTACAAAACTTCTGAGTCTTGGAGTCCTAGCTTCTCTTATCCCTCAACAGAATCATAGGCCTTTGTGTTCAAAAGCCTAGACTCCCAGAGGTTGTAGAGTTAGAAGTAGAAAAAGAGCAAAGAACTCAATTTGGTGAGTAAAAAGAGAAAGGCTCTAGATTTTCCTTGTGGAAAAAGGGGTACAGGAATGTGGGGGCAGCTCTGGGGGGGGGGGGGCACACACATACCATTTTTGATTCAGAGACAGCCAGTCATTTACCTCTGAGGCTGTGGGGGTAACAGAGAGGGTGCTTGTGTCTTAGCCTGAACGAGTCAGAGGGCAGCCATGAGGAATGTCTCAGAGCCCACTGGGTGCAGTGGTACCCCATAAAGGATGGAGGAGACTCAACTGCAATACTCAGAGGTGGCTGCAGAGGGAGCAAAAGCAAATGACCACCAAAAACTAAACCTAGGCCTTTCTCCACGACCCCGGGGCAGGGTGGGGGTGGGGGCTTGTGACTCCACTGTCACCTACCCCACTGTGCAAGCCTAAGGAACAACCAGGACTCCAAACCCATGACTAAAATTAGACATGGCAATATTTTGACAAATGTGATCATAGAACCAGGTTTAACTTTGAAAAAAAGAAAAGCAATATAGCGTTTCTTGCACTTAGGAGTAAATTCACGTTTTGCACCTAAATACACATAGGAAACAAATTCTAAAGTTTTGCATATGTCCCATACATATATATATATATATCATTTTTTAGTTTGTTTCTTGACTGGGGAAGAATTTCAGAAAAGAGAGCGCCTTATGTAAAATATGGAATGCAGATTAGAATTTGTATTTACATGAGAGAAAACCCCCTGCATATATTAAAAGGTAAAGAAAGATAAATACCTCATTTGGAAGAGTCTGCCTTTGAAATCAGGTTTACTGGAGGAATGTAAAGAAAATTAGCTCAAACTTCACAGCTCATCAATTATATATTTTAAAAATAAGTCCATAAACAACTCCAAACAAGCTTTATCCCATAAGTCAAAGAGGATTTTTGAGTGATTCAATCTGTTCTTTCTTCCTAGCTTTTAGATTTCATAAATCTTTTTGCCAAATAGTCATAAACCTTTAAAGTCCTATCCAGTGATTTATCTGTATCTTTCACAGATGATGGCTCCACTCTGCTTTCATATTTTTTGAAAGAAGAAACTCAAGACATCTCAGATGTTTCTCTTTAATGTAATAACAATTTCTGGGTCTTGTTCCATCCCCTGATTCTATTTTGTTAAAGAAATTGTTTTAAAAAATTACAGATAATGCACAGTTACTCAAAATAATTTACCACTAATTTTTATGAACTTGAATTCATCTCAGGTTTATCAAGACTGAGTAATTAGATAACTGATTAGAGGAGTCCTATAATAAATAGAGTAGATATGGTGCTTTTTTGTAAAAGGGAATATTCCCAGAAACTGCAGGGGACTATTTAAATTTAAATGGCTCCAGACTTTTAAAGATGAGCCATTTCCCAAGCCAGCTACTTACACTGCCATCCACAGAGAGAGCTGTGGACCGGGCAGGAGGCAGGAGGAGAGCATGGGCAGGGGTGCGGGGAGTGGGAAAGAGGAGGTGTCTAAATACAGCACAGTATCATGTGCCAATATCTTACTTTAAACAGACTCCATGTAAAAAATCCAGATCTTAAAAATTGCTAATGGGGCACTAAGTTCCTCTGTAAAATGAATCTTTCCCATAGGATTTCTTTGAGTAGTAAGATACTCTGTTCCACATCTAATTAGAGAAAAGCACTGGATTAGGACAAAGGAGGGAAAGATTACTGAAATTAATACACCATTGTCTTGTCTCCTAAAGGGCTTGGTCTCTATGAGAAAAAATATTTACAGATCTTTTCAGGAATATGTCTGCTATATAAAGCATGTTAATCCTGCATTATAAGCAAACCACAAAATGTGCATATCATCTATATAAAAATAACTCATATCAGTAAAACATACTTCTATTTACAAAGTACTTTT